AAACATTTGGGGGGAAACTTTCTGACAGTAAGAGTTGTTCAGCAGTGGAACAGTCTCCCTCAGGAGGTGGTGGACTCTCCTTCCTTGGAAGTTTTTAAACAGAGGTTGGATGGCCATCTGTCATGGATGCTTTAGATAAGATTCCTACCTTGCAGGGGGTTGGACTAGATGGCCCTTGGGATCCCTTCCAACTCTTCCATAATTCTACAAAATACTCCCATAGGGGCACCAGGATCTAAGAAACGAAGGTAGCAGGATGACAAAAGCACACAAAAAGTGATAGAGGCCCTGGAGAGTAATAACAACAACGGGCAGGATTTCTGTAGTGCTTTCAAGTGTTCAAAGCACTTCACATGCATTATTTTGCCACAGTTGTAACCACAACCCTGCAAAGTGAGCCAGTATAATTATCCCTGTGTTGCAGGTGGGTTCAGGGGGAGCACTGAAGCTGGCAAAACAGTGGCTTGCCTAAATCTATCTACGAATTAATGGCCAGAGGTGAGATTTGAACCAGGAACTTCACCTGAGGCTGATGAGAGTTGCAGGTCAAACCAGCAGGGAGGCAGATGGAAGCACACAGATATAGACATAAATTTATATCCTGGTCTGCAATGAGTTTTCCTGGTTTGAGAAACATTGGAGGGGATAATGGATGAATGCAGAGTCCCCTGACTGGTCTGGTAGCAAAACCTATGGCTGCTACCATCACCAGTCTCCCCCAGTGGCTTCGCAATGGGGGGCGGGGGAGGGCAGTGTGCCCCAGGTTCCATGTCTGTGGGGGTGACAAGAAGTCATCCTGCAGCGGCTCGCAGTGGTGCAAGCAGCCATCGCGCTGCCGCAGCCGCATGTGGAGGATCCTCTGTTCGCGGCTGCAGCTGCGAGCAGAGGATCCAAGCACCAATGGCAAACCGCTAAGTACAGTGCATGAGCAGCATTGCACGCCTGTGATGTACGTAGCGATGCCGCACATGCGCTGTATAGCGGTTTGCCGCCAGCGCCGCTCCAGCGCTGTACGGACGGTGCCAGGATCCTCTGCTTGCGGCTGCAGCCATGAACAGAGGATCCTCTGTTCACGGCTGTAGCGGCGATGGAGGGATCCCGACGGCAAACCGCTATACAGCGCACGTGCGGTGTCACTACGTACGGCACATGCGTCGTACGTAGCAACGCCACACGCGCACCCTACATAGCAATGCCTGCCCCGGGTGTCATGACGCCTTCCTTCACCCCTGGTCTCCCCCTCTGTCTCTGGGGTGACAGCTGTCCTTAATGGCCTGTTTGGGCTCAGGAGCTTCCAGTTGCTGACCCCTGTCCACATAGGAAAAAGCCAAAGTTGCTCTGTTCCCATGGTGTTGTGCTGGGATTTATCAGTTTGCTTTCAAGGGCCATTAAACAGTTTCTGGCTCAAATGCCAGCCAGGAGGAACAGCTTCCCCTTCCCCAGAGGCTAATTACTTGAAACCGATTTGGGAAGATCCTGATAAGCCTTGGTTAAAACCACCTTCCACTCTTTTTTCAAGTTGGTTTCTGAGCACTGCCAATATACCGTATTTTTTGCCCCATAGGACGCACCGGCCCATAGGACGCACCTAGTTTTTTTTGGGGGGGGGAATAAAGAAGAAAAATTTATTTCCCCCCCCCCCAGGTGCGGGGCTGGGGCAGGGGAAGCCCGAGCTACCCCCGACGCCAGCCCCCAGAACAGGCTGCTATCCACTAGCCGTGGAGAGCCGTGGACACTAGCGAAGTCGCGTGGCTCTCCCACGGCTAGCGGAGCGCTGCGCGAAGCCCCAAGCTTGGGGCGTGCTGAGCTCAGCGCGCTCCAAGCTTCTGGGTGCCGGCAAGCTCTCCGATAGCCATGGGAGAGCTGCGTCTCCCACGGCTAGCGGATAGCTTCCTGAAGCCTGGAGAGCGAGAGGGGTCAGTGCGCACTGACCCCTCTCGCTCTCCAGGCTTCAGCGAAAGCCTGCTTTCGCCCCATAGGACGCACACACATTTCCCCTTCATTCTTGGAGGGGAAAAAGTGCATCCTATAGGGCGAAAAATACGGTAGTCTCCAAGCAGCATTCTCATCTGCAACCCGTAATACAGCATTTTATACAAATGCACACATTGTGCTATTATTATTATTATTAAATTAAATTTATATACCACCATTCACCTGAAGATCACAGGGTGGTTCACAACATAAAAATACAACATGAAAATGTGAAAAAATAAAATAACAATAACAGTAACGAAACAATACCCCCAACCCCAACAGACACATGTAAAAGGCCAAAGAATGTTAATCAGCCAAATGCCTGGTTGCAGAGAATTGTTTTTTGCCAGACCCCTAAAGTTATGTAATGAAGGTGCCAAGCGAGCCTTTTTGGAGAGAGCATTCCACAAATGGGGAGTTGCTGCAAAAAGGCCTCGTCCCACCCTCTGGACCTCTCGTGGAGGAGGCACATGAAGAAGGGCCTGAGATGATGCTCACAGGGCCCGGTTCAGTTTAAATGGAGAGAGGCGGTCTATGAGTTATTGCGGTCCTGGGACATTTAAGGCTTTATAGGTCAAAACCAGGACTTTGAATTGGGCCTGGAATCTAAGTGGCAGCCAGTGGAGTCAGGCCAGGTTCAGTGTATAGTGGTACCTGGGGTTACATACGCTTCAGGTTACATACGCTTCAGGTTACAGACACCGCTAACCCAGAAATATTACCTCGGGTTAAGAACTTTGCTTCAGGATGAGAACAGAAATCGTGCTCCAGCGGCACGGCGGCAGCAGGAGGTGCCATTAGCTAAAGTGGTGCTTCAGGTTAAGAACAGTTTCAGGTTAAGACCTCCAGAACGAATTAAGTTCTTAACCCGAGGTACCACTGTACTATGCTCAAACTGTCTTACTCAGTGAGCAACCTGACCACCAAATTCTGCACCACCTGGAGTTTCCAAAGCATTTTCAGCGGCAGCCCCACGTATAACACGTTGCAGTAATCTATCCTACAAGTTCTGATGCCCTTCCCTGACATGACAGCATCTCCTCCAATCCCAGGCACATTTCTAAAGCTGCCTTTCATTTACAAGGTGAAAAATGCATGTTTGCCAGCTGTTGCCTCTCCAGTCCATGTTTCAGTCCCCTTCTGAAACTTTTTTTGTTGTTGTTATTTAAAAGGGAGGCGGAGGCGCTGGAGCTTTAATGTACATTTTTGCAATTATAACAAAACAAAACAAAAACACATAAGGAATAGGAAAGTAAAACTACTCCCTTGGAATATCTGTAGAAGGCAAATTTACACAGTGAGGCCCAATTCTTCTGTATCTTCCTGGCTGGTAGAGAAACTGTGTTTTTAAATACATCTCAGAAATACTACTGCAGAGAACGATTACATTTGTGGAGAGGCCAGACTTTAGCGGTAGAACATAGACATTGCATATTACTGGGCACAGCAGGCAGGAGAGCTGAGCAAAGTTGGGAGCTGAGTTCCAATTGCCCTGAGTATAGCAAAAAAGATCAAGCACCACAGCCAGAGCTGTGTATCACACCTCCACAGGAGTTCATAAAAATATAAAGGATGCAATACTGGACAAAGAAGGAAACTTCTTTGGGGGGGGGCGAATCTCAGCTTTCATTACTAAAACATTTAAGTTTCTATCCCACATGGCTATGAAGACAGGCATGAAATATCGCCTGGAATTTAAAAGCAGGTTGGAAGCTGCAGCTGCAGTTGCCAGCCTCATAACTGGAACAGGCTACAGAAAGCGCACAATTCTGAACTTGGCTTAAGAAGGAATGGCTGCAGATTTCAAAACTCAAATTGCGGCTGAATTTCAGAATTCGAAGTGATGTTTTTGATCATTAAAGCCTGAGATAGCCTGGACCCTTTGTACTTTGGGGGGTGGCTGTTCCCATTCTCTTGTTAATTAGCAGGAGGCAAGCAGCTCCACATCCCATCCTTTGTTCAAGTAAGGCCAGGGAGAAGGAACGGTTGGACGTGATCAGGGAAGATGGCACCCCCTTTGCGGAGCATCCTTCCTTGGGAACTCAGCTCTGCTTCGCTGCTTACTGTCATTTCAGCAGCTGGTAAAACCTTTTGTCTTGAAAAGCCATTTCCCTCTGGGTGACTGTGCAGTGTGCAACGTTTTATATCGTTGCTGCTTTGGATTTTAGGTTTTTTACTAGTGTTCTACCATTTTTTAATTCATGCTGTTTCATGCTGTTCTGATGCTTGGCTGTACACTGCCTTTGAGTGCCATTCTCACAGAAAACGAGTCTTTAAAATGCCTGGGATGTGAATTTTTTTAAAAAAAATAAAAATAAAGTGTGCATCCAAAGCCTGCTAAACTCTCAGAAGTCTGAAAGGTGTCTGAATATGATTTCCAGTGGCTGAAGAGTGGCTACCCTACCCAGTACCTGTTAGAAGCATTATGCCTCCGAATACCAGTTGCTGGAAATCACATAGGTGGGCAGAGTTACTGGTGAGTCTCTACTTGCTAAAGGGGAGAAATAACTTTTAGTCCTGAATTGCTGCAGAACAGATAATTGTCACTAGGTGGCACTGCAAACCTATCAATGGCGTTTGGGTTCAAGAAACAAGTACTGTACTGACAACAGAACTGTACAGAATAACCTTACATTTACAGAGCAAAATATCCTTTTGAATTATATGCCCAAAAGGACAATATGAGTGGACTCTCTGTGCCCTTACCACAGCAAAAAGACTGATACTGATGAACTGGAAAAATAAAAATGCAGTTCCCTTCTTTGATTGGATTGAAGATATATACAAACTCGCAGCATATGATAACTTGCATATAACAACAACAACAACAACTTGTATACAAATGCAGACTTGCCATGGACAAATTCAGTGATATTTGGAATCCATTCTTACAAATACTGTAACAGGTTAAGATCTGGTGAAGTACAACAACAGCTTTGTAAAGTATACAGTTTGGGGGTTTCCCCCTCCTCCTTTTACTTTCCCTTCTACACAGGTGCTGTTTTTCTTTTTCTCTCTTTTATGTATGTCTCACCATGTTTAGAGCACATATAATTATGTAGTTTTAAACTTTCAGTAAAGTATAAGGGGGGGCGGAGAAACAGGTACTGATAAATAGATCATCCAGGTTGTTCTTCCCATCAGCACGTAAACTAAGCCCCACTGACATCAGAAACAAATTCCCCCCAAAACTTTGCAGTTCTAAAAGGGTGGGAGGCAGAGAGAGGTGCAACCCCCTCAACTTTGACTCTGGAAGAACAGAGGTGAAGTCTCACGGCAGCAATTATGAAAAGAGAGAGAATGATGTCTAAATACATCCATTTCAGATCAAAAAGGAAGAGAAATGCATTTAAACAGAAGAGGTAATCTGATGCAGTTGCTGACGCAATATTGGGAATATGGAACATTATTCTGAAAGGGGTGGCTCCCCCCCCCCATTGAAATGTTCTGAAGCTTTTATCTAAATGGCCATAATGAGATGAGACTGATTATTTTCAGTCATTTTCCAGGTCATGGTGAACTGCAATTTTCCAGATTGGGGACATCTATCTCACTACATAGGAGGATGGTCAGAAGAAAAGTATCAGTATACAAAATGTAAAAATGAGGCGGGGAAGAGACATAATCTCTTTGTGGTTTTATCACATCATAAATGAAAGTAGGAATCGGTTCTCTGTAGGTCCACATGCTAAGATTGTAACACACATTTCTCCCAGTATAAAAAACATCTATATGCTGTTTGTTTCTAATATGCACACAGTTATGCAAACAAATTCCTGAAAAAAATTATGCATTTTAGTGTTAATATCAGTAAAATATGCATTTTTGTGCACACTCTTCCCTAATTCAGACTTTAGGGGCAGAAAATTGCATTGCAAAAATCAGAACAGTGAGAATTTCAAAGGCTAGCCATGCTTCAGTGCATATTTGTTCAAGGAGTGCAAATGTGAGCTTAACAAATTTCCCTCTGCTCCTTTCTCCTAAGTAAGAGAATTGCAGCACCAGGCTTCAAGTGAGACGTGTTCACAGTACTGTTCTAATGACAAGAGTTTGCTCTCAACATACAACCCTTGAGGCTCTTTCCCTAAGATTTGGCAATGTCTGTGCAACCCGGAGGGGCAAGGACTTGGCAAAGAAACCGTCTTCCTAATACAGCACCATCTGGGCTGCTACACAAAAAGCGCATCCCAACAAGCCAACATCGGGGAGTGCAAAGTTTTTGTTTGCAGTGAAATATTTATTAGAACAGCTGGAGAGCTAAGAAGAAACAAAGGTGGAAGAAAGGTGGGGCTAGTCGAGATTTATTGGATACTTGAGAAATATGACCTGGGCCATCATAGTTCTGAAGACCAAATCTATGAACCAGATATGTGAAAAGAAGCAGTCTTATCTCCGCAAATGCGCACACGGATATTGGGTCCTGATCTGATGGGTCGTTTCATCAAACATGACAGGACTTTGAAGAGCAAATGCGCCCCCTCGCAATGCGCTGTGTGCACATGTCATGAGAAATGCTGACGTCAGTCACACACGCCGCTAGAGAAGGTGCTTTATCTGCACATGCACATTTATATGTGCAGGGTATACCCTGCACACATAAATGTGCATGTGCAGATAAAACACCTCTACAACTTTTGGTGTACAAACTCACAGCTGATGAATGAATTGATAAAAGCGCCACTTGTCCAACTAGTCCCCCAGAGCTGGTCAACACCAGTACTGCCCATGACTAGGTAGGCTGCCTGATTGCGGGACAAAGGAGGAACTGAGTATGGAGGCAGCCCTTGGATTCTGGGCCTCTCTTCCAGGAAAGGGAACCTCAGCAGGAGTTAGCATCTTTTCTCAGCCATGGTGATGACACTGCCTCCCACCTTCTCTAGGAGCGGCAGTCTGAGAAGCATCACTTAAATAAAGGCAGTGTGAAGCCCAGGAAATAAATAGGGCAGATAACGAGGTTATTTGCATAGCTATTAGCCTCCAGGATTCGCAATCATTTTGACATGGGACGTGCTGTCATTATATGTCATGTCATCACAGTGCCGGAATTTAAGAGCTTGAGAACTAATCATGGCTTCCCTCCTCCCTGCCCTCCTGGAGAAGCAGCAAACATTCCCTCCCAAATGATGGTCTTCCACACATAATTAAGGCCCTTGTGTTGCAAGATCGCAGACTTGCTGCGCACTCCCCTCCTGCCAGTCAGAGAATACTGCCACTTGTCTGTCTCTTGCTGGGACCTGATGGATCTTGCAGCAAGTTCCAGCTGCGCCAAGCAGAACCAAGAAACCCCAGCTGCCAGATTCTCTCTTGATCTAACTGAGTAGATTCAGAGCGAGATGTCTATATAAGTACTGCATCTAGTATCATTATGATCTTACGAAGTCTAGGACAGCACTCTGAAAGGGGCAGCAAGGTGATGTTTGTTTGTTCCAGTTCAGCAGTAAGCAGCGGGTTTTCCGGCAGAAAGCAGGAAGAAAGAAAAACCGATGCCTAGAAAACATGGGGTGAACGGAAGTAGGGATGAGCCCATCATGAACCTGGAGGGTGGATTCAGATGGCCCAAGGTGTTTCTCACATTCAAATCCAGGGAAGACAGAATAAGCTAGCTGAGGCTTCCTACTAGTGCTTGATTCAGGTGACATGCCACCACTCATTTGTAGCCAAACAGGCAGGGATGCATGCTTAATACTCAAGCAAAAGGGAGCCTGGGAGTGCCATGAAGTTCTGTGCATTTCAAAACACAGGAAAACTTTCTAACCTACTCAAGAATATTGTATGTCCCACTAACATAGTACTAAACAGATGAGACCCATCAGCAAGTGAAAGCTTTTCAACAGCCCCAGGCAAAATAGCTGTTCTCAAACAATGAACAGTTTATTTACTGAAAATAGTGCATAAAACCAGGCACACAAGTAAACAAAACCTGGAAGCAGCTTGCTAAACTTAGTTAAAATTCTGACAGGTGGAGGCAGAACATACTGTGCATGTGGCTTCAGATATCTGAGAAGCAGGAAAATGGGAAGAACAACTGGGATCACAGCACCCGTTTTTGTAAATCTGTGTAATATCCAGATAAGTAGCTCATGCTTATCCCCCAGGGCAGGGATAATCTTGTCCTTCTCTGTGGACTTCCTGAAGAGATGATTAAGTAGCAATATGATAGCCATCTCCAAATATCCAAAGGCCTGTCTCATATAGATGATGGAGCAAAGTTTTTTCCTATTGCTCAAGAGCAGGACTCACCAAATGTATACAGGCATATTTTGAAGTTTGGGGGGGAGAACCCTAAAAAAAACCCCCAAACCTACCCAAACAGCATTTCCACCCACCCTTAGAAAAACAAAAACAAATACTGAAGTACACAAACCTACACAGGCAACATCACCACAACTACAAGCAAACTCTTTACAAACAAGCCCAGGCAGCACAGCACAGCTGCCCTCCAAAGAAACCACAAAATTGCACACTCACAAAATTAAGAGAGGCTTCACTCTCCAACACTTCTCACTGTTCAGCCCCTCAGACGCAGCTCACCTCAACCACCAGACGTTTACCAGGGAGGGAAGGGTCATAGCTCAGCATTGCATACAAAAGCTCCCAGGTTCAATATCCGGCATCTCTAAGATTAGGAGAGACCTTTTCTGAAATCCTGGAGAGCCACTGCCAGCTGGTGCAGGTAACACTAAACTAGATATCCCAGTGGTCTGACTCCGTATAAGACAGCTTCCTATGTTCCCATCAAGTCCCTTTTCTCCTCCTCCTCTTGCTTACAAAAATCCTATATATATATATATGAAAAACTGGGCATACTGGAATGCAAAGAACTGGCTTCCTCTGCCTTGCCCTCTCTCACCCAAGGGGGACCCAGAGGCATCCTGGGAAGAAGCCATCCCTGGGTACCGTTCTGCAGAGGGTAGAACCCAGAGCAAAGCATTCAGAAAGTAGGAAAGTAGTGGAATCCCTTTCAATAATAATAATAATTGTTATTATTATTATTATTTATTTGTACCCCGCCCATCTGGCTGGGTTTCCCTAGCCGCTCTGGGTAGCTTCCAGCAAAGATTAAAATGCCACACATTAAAAACTTCCCTGAACATTAGAAGTTTTCAGGCAGAGACGAGAAGCCTCCCCCATCTTGGGTGCTGTAGTTGGGTTCCCCCCAGCTCTGAGATACTAAGACTTCCTTAGCCTCTTGTCAGTCATACCAGTTCCCCAACATCGTAGTTCCCTCTGAGCCCTTGGATTCAGAGCAAGAGATGGAGGCGCCTGAGGATAGAGTCAGGGTCAGGCTCCCACCACGGTGGTGCCACAGGGCTAGTCTGGGTAAGCTAGCGAGCTCCACTCTGGAAGGATCAAGTACTGGGTAAGCAGGGTGAGACAAGTTGCCTGCTCGAGCAGGCTTGCATTTTTCAGACAGTTCTGCTAAATATTTCAGGGCTGTACATGGGAAAGCTCTCCGTCCGTCAGCCTAGATCGGAGTCAGGCAAGGAAGGAAGGCTGCAGTGTATACCAGGGGAGGGATGAATAATGCAGGCCTCCTGTCTTGCTGGTGCAGGAGGAAAAGAGGGCTCCATGGCTGTATCTGGCACTGGGGATGGCTCAGAGATCAAGTGCGACACACACGCACAAGCACAACAGAGCTTGTGAGCTGAGGAGCGCACTAGGAGAAGACGGGCAGAGGCATGCCTATAGCATCACAAAACAGAAACAGGCTACTATCTATGAAGCATGGGTAGGCAAACTAAGGCCCGGGGGCCCAATCTGGCCCAATCGCCTTCTCAATCCGGCCCATGGATGGTCCAAGAATCAGCATGTTTTTACATGAGTAGAATGTGTCCTTTTATTTCAAATGCATCTCTGGATTATTTGTGGGGCATAGGAATTCTTTCATTATTATTTTTCCAAAATATATAGTCCGGCCCCCGACAAGGTCTGAGAGACAGAGGATTGGCCCCCTGCTGAAAAAGTTTGCTGACCCCTGCTCTAAAGCAACAGCTAAACAAAAACCCCTGTGTGTGACTGTATGAACACTCAACTGTGACTCAGGGGTCATGCTAGATAGGCTCAGCAGCCCCCACCCAAACCTTGGGCATATTTCAGGCAGTACTACCACAGGAGCAGCCAACCTGCTCCCATGTCCCCTGAGCTCCCACCACAGTGAAGAGTGTCTTTGCTTTACGTTGAAAATAAGATCTGCCCACTGCACACTGTGCTCTCTGCCGAGGGTCACTGTCTTTGTGACAACAAGAAATTAATGGCTTCCCTGAAACTGTGCACAGGTTGCTCCTTGATAAACTGAAGGCAGTGTTCGGCTAATTTCCTTATGTTCACATTGCTTTTTGCTGCACACGAGTGTGAATCTGTGAGGAGGTGTGATCTAAAGTGGTCCCCATTTCCATGGGAATGGCTTTTACTATCGCAATGTGACTTCCTTTGCCCCCAGAGTGAAAAGCCTCCCCAAAGGCCAGGAATGAACTGCTAAAGAGCAAATCAAAGGCTGTGCTCTGTTGAAGGCAGTGGCACGGAATGAGCCGAGGAGAGCACCTCGGAGTCCCTGTTGCATCTTGTCAAAAGAGCTGACAGATCAAAAAGGCCATCAGTGGTCTTTCTAGAGAAGCGTAGAGAGTTTGGCAACTCCGAACAATTTTAGCAGGGAGGTGATCTGCTGTGAGGCAATCTGCCTCCACATTCGTATCAGTCTCACAGCCACCATTAAGAGGACAAAAGTCACCCAGTCAAAGAAAAATGCTCAGAAGAAGAGCAGGATTGGGGGAACAATTTGGTTTGCTTCACATCTGAATGCAATCCTACCTAACGCGCACTTCCTGAAATGGTGCAAGAACCAAAATGCAGCTCTCCTCTGAATTTTGCTATGCAGTTCTCTAACCAAAAAGGGGAAATTGTGTAGTAAAATGCAAATATTAGAGAAAATAAGATACAAAATGTGTTAGAGAAATTTGTTTGCACCAAATGCACATATTAGAGAAGATGCACACTAAAATTGTAGTATTTTTTTCCTGAGGACTTTTAAAAAATAAAACAAAAATAGATCACAAACTGGTACAGAAATGTCAAGAAAATGAGCTTAAATTTGGAAAAAAATGAGAAACACGGAGATAGGGAAATTCACAGATTTATCCACTCCTAAAGAAGTGTCACTGTTTAATCACTAGTGTGAAATCCTGGGGTCCTTTGCTGAGCCCTTAAACCAGCACCTGAGAAATCACTTGGTATGACATCTATTTACTTTATCACTGGAACCAAATCCATCCCCAAACGCTTGCCCATCACTGGGGAGTGCAATGAAAACTCTTGCTAGCAGGAGAGAGGGCTTCACACTGGAATACTACACCACAGATCTGCTGGCCTCTAACCTCTCTCCATCCAAAGCCTCACTAAGAAAGGTTAGTATCCTCTTTCTCTTCCTTTCTCTGTGTAACTTGGCTGAAGGGACAAAGGGCCTTAACATGGGGGTGAGAACCAATTAGTTAGAAATCTCCCAGATCAGAACACGTACCTAACAAGAAGTTAAGCTTGTTAACACACACACAAAAAAAGAATGGAAGGAGAGCAGCACTTCTGCTGCCTGAAGTTTGCAGGTCATGCACTTATTAGGGAGAAGGAGAAAGAGAAAGGAACAAGTTGTGGGGAAGGCAAAAAATATTAAGATAAAGTCGCTCAGATTCAGGAAGAGGTAGACTCCACCGTGGGGGCATGGCCGGGGCAGGAGAGTGCTAGAGTCCTGTCTAGTCAAGTTGCATGGGATCACTTCTAATCTGTTACCTCCGAAGATGTGGACAGGCTGCTTGGACAAGTGAAACCAACCACCTGTCTCCTTGATCCTTGCCCATCCTGGCTTATAAAAGCTAGCCAGGAAGGGCTGGGGAATGGGCTTCACGGGGTGGTGAATGCTTCTGTCTGTGAGGGAGCCTTCCCAGACCTGCTTAAAGAGGTGGTCATTAAACCGCTTCTTTAAAAAACATCTCTGGACCCGGCCAATATGGCCAACTATCACCCAGTCTCAAATCTTCCATTGTTGGGCAAGGTGATTGAGTGAGTGGTTGCTGAACAACACCAGGCACGTCTGGAAGAAGCGGACCATTTGGATCCCTTCAAGTCAGGATTCAGGCCTCATCATGGGACTGAAACTGCCTTGGTCGCACTGGTCGATGATCTCCAGCGGGCTAGGGACAATGGTGAGAGCTGTTTCCTAGTTCTGCTGGATCTCTCAGCGGCTTTTGATACCATCAACCATAACATCCTTCTGGACCGTCTAGAGGGGCTGGGAGCTGGGGGCACTGTTATACAGTGGTTCCACTCCTTCCTCCTGGGCCGTGTTCAGAAAGTGGTGGGGGGGGGATGAGTGTTCAGACCCCTGGGCCCTCACTTGTGGGGTGCCTCAGGGTTCTGTGCTCTCCCCCATGCTTTTCAACATCTACATGCAGCCACTGGGAGAGATCATCAGGGGATTGGGTTGGGCGTTCATCAATATGCAGATGATACCCAGCTCTACCTCTCTTTCACATCAGAACCAGTGAAGGCGGTGAAGGTCCTGTGTGAGTGTCTGGAGGCAGTTGGAGGATGGATGGCGGCTAACAGATTGAGGTTGAATCCTGACAAGACAGAAGTACTGTTTTGGGGGGACAGGAGGCGGGCAGGTGTGGAGGGCTCCCTGGTCCTGAATGGGGTAACTGTGCCCCTGAAGGACCAGATGCGCAGCCTGGGAGTCATTCTGGACTCACAGCTGTCCATGGAGGCGCAGGTCAATTCTGTGTCCAGGGCAGCTGTTTATCAGCTCCACCTGGTATGCAGGCTGAGACCCTACCTGCCTGCAGACTGTCTCACCAGAGTGGTGCATGCTCTAGTTATCTCTCACTTGGATTACTGCAATGCGTTCTATGTAGGGCTACCTTTGAAGGTGACCCAGAAACTACAACTAATCCAGAATGCGGCAGCTAGACTGGTGACTGGGAGCGGCCGCCAAGACCACATAACACTGGTCTTGAAAAATCTACATTGCCTCCCAGTACGTTTCTGAGCACAATTCAAAATATTGGTGCTGACCTTTAAAGCCTTAAACAGCCTCAGTCCAGTATACCCGAAGGAGCGTCTCCACCCCCATCTTTCTGCCCGGACACTGAGGCCCAGCGCCAAGAGTCTTCTGGTGGTTCCCTTGCTGCAAGAAGCCAAGTTACAGGGAACCAGGCAGAGGGCCTTCTTGGTAGTGGCACCCGCCCTGTGGAACGCCCTCCCACCAGCTGTCAAAGAGAAGAACTACCACCAGACTTTTTGAAGCCCTGTTTAGGGAAGCTTTTAATGACTGATGTTTTAATGTATTTTTAATCTTTTGTTGGAAGCCGCCCAGAGTGGCTGGGGAAACCCAGCCAGATGGGCGGGGTATAAATATTATTATTATTATTATTAACAACCTTGAGCCATGGCAAACCATCAGCTGCCAAAACAGTGTCCAGAAAGGCTAGAAAGAACCAGAACCTCAAGCCTAACCTCTACCCCCCAGTCTATGGATGAAGCTGGCTCCCTCTAAGAAGAGTCTCCTGGACTAGGTCAGTGGCCCACCTAGTCCAATACCCTGATCTCACCAGATGCTTTTGGGAAGCCTGAGAGCAGGACCCGAGGACAACAGTGAAATCTGTAGCAACTAATATTAATTGCCTGTGGCAGTGGAGGTAGAGGGTGACCATCAGGGTCCATTCAATGATC